GAGTGAAACGATATGATTGGTCGGCGCAAGTTACGCTTACGTAAGTTACCGCCGCATGTGACGGTGCTCCAGACAACCTTCGACTGAGTACGGACGTGTAGTGATTCGTATTTACTTGACCGAACCTTGACGTCTTTCAAAGGAACTTCCATATAGAAACGTTTGTATTTCGTATGAAGAGCTTTAAAGTGCAATTGAAAAGATTTGTGAGTCGTTCTATTAATTGTAATTAATTATTTATTTTTTGACAATGTACTTAACTGGAAAAATAAGCCGGAGGCAAATTAAACAAAGTTCTTGCATGGTATCGTTTGTATTTCGTATGAAGAGTTATAAAGTGTCATCGAAAAGATTTGTGAGAGTCATCGAAATAATTTTAATTAAATATTTAAAGATTGCGTAATTGACCAACGAAATATAGATTTCGGCGCTACTGTTCCGAAAGTACTATCAGGAATGTCAGGCGCGATCGGTAATCTAGTATTTCGATACTCCTGGTTCTTTTTCGATCATAACAAAATGAACGAGTGTTTTTGACAATTTTCGATAACATTATGTCTCGAATCTATTATTTTTTGAACAGTACGTCCAGCATAAAACTGTCATTCTAAAAAATTATATATTTTTGCGAAATATTGCGTATATTTACTAACTAATTTACTGCGGCACATTCTAGGGAATAGCAAAACATGACCGGATGGCGAGAACATCAAGTACTATATTTTAGCGATTGTCAAGTACTATATTTTGGCGTTCATTTTGTTAGGGACTCCGCACAATAAAAGGAACAGGTAACGAGATACATGAGGTTTGTTCGCGTCGCATATTCCAGCATGCTTCAACATGTTCCTACCATAGCTCCTACTCACTCTAACGAGCACGTTTGAGTGAGTAGGAGCTACAGTTGGAGGAAATAGGAGTATGTTGGAGTATGCGACGCGAACAAACCTATGATTTCTGATGGGTTAAAATTCTTATTCTCTGTTCCCTGTTCCTTTTATTATGCGGAGCTCCTTATAATTGAAAAAGAACCAGGAGTATCAAAATACTAGATTACCGATCGCGCCAGACACTCCTGATAGTACTTTCTAGAGTCCCTATAATGGAGAGTCTAGACATGAGACCGGAAGAACGCCATTGCCACGCCCCGGCCGGAAACAGCAAATAACGCGCACGCCATTCAAAGTTTCGGTAATAGTGAAATATAATAATCACAATATCCGTAATTGTTAATTAAATCATGTTGCATGTTACAGATTAGTTTGTCGATTTTAACTCACCATTTTTGCCTGCTGAAAGACGGGCTTCATTGGCATCAGGCCTGTTCAATTTGAATTCTGGAGCCAAAACGCAAAGCCATCGACGCAAAAAATTCAATGTAAGATTTCAGGGACTGTAAAGTGTTTTAATAAGCATCACTCAGATTAATATCAATACTTTACATTCCCCGAAATCTTATCCACATTAAATTTTTTTACGTCAATGACTTCGCGTTTTGACTCCGGAGCTCAAATTGAACAGACCTGCACTACGTCAATATCTCATTCACGCATGTCACACATACACATAAATTTTCATATAACAATAACGTTTTAATTTGACATTTGTTTGGACTAAATTCAGTAAAAATTCAGTGCGCTAATTCTTTTCAGTCAGCATTTTTCAAAATTACATAAACCGTCATGTTAAATACTTATCCTCGTTATCGAGTTAATTTCAACGTTTATTTCTGTCGACAGCTATTCCGTTCAAAACACCCCAGGTAGCAAGCTACGTCATTTTGACGTCATTTTGACGTCAGCTTGCTACCAGGGACGCTTATTATCGGTACCGACGCGGTCAGAATTCGTGACAATATTTCTACCTATCAGCTGTTTACTTCGCGTCACACGATGTATACATTCGCAATCTTTCTTTCTTTTTTCGCGAAGCGAAGATTACCTCTCGGTACCTGTGTATGTCTATCGCTTAATGACGACAGTCAGTTGATTTCGAATAAAGCTCAGCAGCACATCTCATTGTACATCGCTCTAAGTTTCTACTCTTGTCAACACCTGACTCCTTGTGTATATTCGCAATAATTCCGACGTCATCAGTGGATCTGGTTATTCGGTACCATTTCCTTTCGCAATACTCCCAATAACATTGTTTCCTCGTGTAAACTACTATCTGAACTACCATTTCGCAAGTACAAATTGCATTTTTATACGAAGCAAATGTCACGATGTGACAACTCTAGAGCGCTGTATTAGACTAAGAAATGATAAAGGTCTCAATTTTGAAACTTTTTGACGTTCTCAGACCAAACTCCACCTCACGTATTAATGCGTATTAATGCGTATACTTTAATCCTGGAAAAGGATTTTCGAATCTATAAAAGAGAAGAAAGTAATTATTATACAAAAATTATATGATTTAGTCGGTAATACAGGCGGCTTTAGGATCCCTTTAAACAGGCAGATACTTATACATCTAATAATGAAAAAACTCAAAAAAAGAAAAAGTTCTTAGTTTACTATTTTATATTTTTCTGACATCTAAATGAAAAATCTAATGAAAAATTCAAGAACATCACTAAAGACCTCAACGTTAAACTATCGTTCTTTAGCTTGAACAAACTTGACAGAATCATAAAAGCACAAAAAGACGTTCCTCTCATCATTTAAAGAAAAATGTCCATAAAATCTTTTGCAAGGATTGTAACGCGTCTTACGTAGGGCAGACTGGGACAAAATTAAAAACTAGAGTAACTAAACACCGCAATGATATCAATAAAAGATCAGATAATCTGTTATTTCGAAACATAGAATTTAACCATGAATTTTATTTGGAGAACATCAAAATTCTTGACAATGAAAGGTATTTGGGGCAAAGATTAATTATAGAGATGCTCAATATAAAAAAAAAAACAAGGGAACAGTTTAAGTTAAAAATCTGACACAGAATTTCTACACCATATTTATATGAACATTCTTAATAAATTTCAGTAATTCACGACCACATCATTACATGAGTTTGACAATCTATATATTTCATTTTGATGACACTTATATACCTATATTTTAGATATCTGTTTATTATTTGACTCGTTTTTTACTTACAATATGTATGCCTCAACTATCATTGTCACACTGGGCTTTGTTACATACAGTTGTTTTTTATATTTTCACCAATCTATTCTTGTCACGATTATTGATTGTTCTACATATTTAACTTATGCTTAGTGTGCGGCAAGTAAATCATACAGATTTCATTTGCATATGTGTAACTGCGTATCATTTTGTCATTCGTTCTTTCTTTCTTCTTCAGCGTTTCTTAGCCTAACAGCTGAATGATAGTCGTACTTTTCAAATTTGATAATTTAAGGGACTAGCTGCACTCTTTAACTTATCACTTTGTGACTATTCATTGAATTAGACTATCAAAAGGATTGTTCTAACATCGCTGAAGATGGCTCAAAGTTAGCTTAAACGTTCAATTATTTTATAATTTTCCATGTAAGATCTTGAAATGTATATGTTTACACAAGAATTACCTCGCTCTCAATTGCCCGGTATTTAATAATTTTTATCGTAACAATAGTTCCATGTACGCTTTGCTGATAGTACGGGGAGCGTATACAGACATTTATAATTACGAAGAGTCAATGGAAAATTGATGAAATGTTTAAAAAAAGTTAAAACTTTTCGTTCACACTTCTGACTAGTGTTCCTATAATAAGAATTAAGATAAACCGCCGCCGTTAATAGTCAAATTTATGTTGGGTAACACTGATTTTGTCATCTGCAAGTTAACTCCTACTAGAGAAACTGTAGACGATATACAGAAAATATGACACATGTAGCTGAGAGAACACAATCAATACTAAAATTCAAATGTCTATAACGGTCGAAGCTGGATCTTCATTGCTTTAAATAATTAAATCTTGAATTACTATGTATATCGTATATGTATTTGTATACTATGTTGTAGTCTTTCGAACTGCGCGCCGAATTGTTTTTCTGGACTATAAACGCAATTAAACTACACTAGTAATCGCGAATTAAATTGGCAAGCAATTTTAATAATTGTTGCGACTACGTTGTCCTAACTCTTATTATAGGAACACTATCTTTGACAATATAATATATTATCAATCTATCTTTGATTTTTCATTCTTTAATAAGCTTTACATTTTTATCAAAGTACAGATATAGTAATATATTGATGAATATATTTAAGCACTGTATCTATTTCAACAAGAATAGAATCTGTATTAAAGGCAGATAGTTAACTTCTTATTGATAAAAAGCAAATAGTGTATTTCCCAGGTATTCATAGTTTATCTATTCCTTATATCTACAGTATGTAGATAAATCAAACAAGCAATTTGATGTGGACAATTTTGACAAACGCTTTTTTAAAATCTTTCACTAACTCTCGAAAGGATTAAGCCGAGAGCATAGACTTTTGCACAAAACATAATGCAAAAGAAAATCGATCAATCAGTGTTCTTCATTTTCTTCCTTTCCATGAAATAAAGGACTCTAATTGATTTTCTTATATCTTATACGTTTTGCAAGAGGCTGTGCTACCCGCTTTAACTGGGGTTTTAGAATGAGTCGGTAGTCGAAAATCTTAATTAGTGAAGTTGGCCAATAGCCAACTTGTATGACTAAGATTGAGACTTCCGATTACCGACTACCGACTCATTGTAAAACCTCCATAAGGTTACAGACTTTGAACGGGAGCACAGTCTTGCATAACGCATAAGAAAATAAACCAATCAAAATTCATTTCCTTCCTCTTCATGAAATAAATGACTCTGATTTGTTGATTTTCTCGTGCTTTATGCTTTATGCATTAAGCGTTATGCGAAGGTCTTTGCTTCAGTCTCTTGCGTAACACATGAGGCACAAGAGAGTCAATCAGAGTCCTTCATTTCATATTCTCATTGCTTAATTTTTTATGCCTTACACCTTATATGTTATAAAGCGTTATGCAAAAGTCTGTGTTGCGTCCTTTATTGCAACTTTATAACATTGCCTTCGTTACTTGTGTGAGGCACATTTTTGCAGGCGAGAGGTTGGTATAAAAGATAATTCGAGATGAGTGTTACGCTGCTCAAAGATTTCAAATTTTCTTTGGCGTATAAAGTCATTCACATACTCGTGTCCATAAAACATCCTTGTACTCATATCCGAAATTTCGATATCTGAATGATTAGTTTCTATGAAGGATACACGGGTCTACTTACACCGTGGTAACCGACAGTAGACCCATTAATTTCCCGCCTATGCTAGGTCCATCTGTGCCCATTCTATTTCCATGAACCAACATTTTTTGAACGGTGGTAAAATCATCCAGAGTCGTTTTTTTACGCACCATTTTCTTGTAACTTAGCTCGACGATGTTCAATGGCTTCTTGGACACCTTGTCCTCTATATGTTCGCATATCAGCAGATCGTTAGTCTGTTGTATCTGCTCCTGTTCTTGCTGTAGTATCAGTTCCTGTTGACGTTGCTTGCGCTCGCATGCACGTTCCAGTTGCCGTTTACGCTCCTCTTTGCTCCAATAGCGTCCGGCCTAATAAATAATAATGTAAAAAATAAATAAATAAATATGAATAACAAAACTAATAAATTAAATATTAAATCTTATAGGATCGTACATGTGAGAACACAGCCAATACGATATAAATGCCTTTAACAGTCCAGCTGGATATTTAGTGTTCTTGTATAATTCTATGTGAATTTTATATACTACTAATCCGGGAGGTCGCGTGAAAAAATCATGACTATTTTCTGAAATCTAGATTTTTTATAAATTTGGTTGTATTCAGGATAAAAAACAAAATGCTAGAGTCAGCAGGTCAGGCGTTAGACCCTCTAGTGCCTGCATTCCTTCAAAGACATAAAAAAAAGTAATGTATTTTCTTCACAAAAGTATTTTCTAAAAGCTGAAAATTTATGTACGGATAGTTTATACAACAAGATATAGAAATATAACCGTCAGAACATGTAGCGTTAGCACTATCATAAAGTTGTAAAAAAAATTAACGTAACTATGCTTTTTACTCATTGTGTATTCACGTTATACGGTTCTACTAATAATAAGTTGTTTATTATTATATATCTTTACGTCAATTTATGTACGATGGCTGTGATGTGCACTGACAACGGACACTAGGCAACTCAAAAATTCAAAGAATTTTGAAACTTGTGTGCTATTTGCAACAAATTACCTGCTTTCTTCTATATTTTATTCAGCGATATTATTAGGAGTGTGATTTAGTTTTGAGCGTTTTCTAAGAGATGGCATTACTGTCAATGTTGTCGAAAACATTCCAATCACAGCTATTATTTCTCTTAATACTTTAATATTACTCCATGATATTTAATCTTTTACTAACAATAGACGCAGTAAACATCGTGTTCATAGCATTTAAAAAATGGAGCTTCCTAAAGAGCATTTTCGACATGCGTTGTTTTTGTTTTTTAATTAGAAGAAACGGCGGCTGAAGGTCATAGAATTCTGATAGAAATTTATGATGATGTTGCTCCATCAATTAAGACATGTAAATAATATTGATTCTGTCGAAGTGTTTTCAATATTAACGACAAAAACTGGAAAATCCAGATTTGCAAGCATTATATACGAAAATCTAGCACGATCCACTTTAGAACTAGAGAATTAAATGTTGATCGTATAATAATTATTAAACATTTATGTGATGTGTTGTTTAAATAAATCATTTTTTAAGAAAAAAAATCCTCAAAATCACACTCCTAATATATCCAACCTTTTTTTTTCTCTCCCTCAGTAAGAGTAACGGTACTTAAAGATTTTTGTATTGCATCGATTATATTTTAAACGTGTGAAATTCGGAGAAATAAAAGTTTACTATTTCCAAATTTGGCTCGGAAAAAGACTCAAATCGATTATTATCAATTGGCATTTACCTTCATTTCCGATATAGTATCGTCTTCGGTGGTGTGACCGGTTCTTTCTTCTGTTATCTTGATTGCTCTGTTCCGAAGTATTCGATTCCTGACTGGCCGTCTGGCAATGTACCTCGTCCCGTCCGCTCTCCTCTTCACTTTCCATTCCATTTGCACCTCGCTCTTGTCTTCTGTTGGTATCCAAGTAGTAGACGTACATACTTGTTGACTACCGACGAATTGGTATTGTGTGAGATTTGGTGCCTGAAAATTACCATACGACTTGAGTTTCTTCACACCGCTTGTGAACATCTTTTTAGATGTCATGAGGTTTTTGCGGTTGAGTGCTTGTTTGAATAGTTGCTGTTGAAGCATCATTGTTTGCTGTAAATTTGCCACGTTCGTGTACATAGTATCGGCTGCCATAGTGTTGATGTTCATCGACGAAGATTCATTGCGGTCTCTGTGATGATGCGATGACGATGAGCTCTTCTTTACGTTTTGATTTTTCAATGATTGCTTTGTCACTGCGAACGTTGCGGTTGGCGTTACCAGCATGGGACAATTACAACCGATCTTCTGCTGTTGTGGCGTCTTCGGCGGGGATAATACCAGTGTGCTCTTATAATGATCCCTCTCACCCTCATGCAGCTCCAACGTTAAAGGATTACTGTGACAGGATTCGCCGGTGTTGTAAGCGCTTGAGCTATCTTTTTCTTCGCCGGAACTGTTGCTCTTTAAGGAGGAATGCCATTTCTGATTTTGCTGGCCGCTGGTCAAATAGTTCTGCGCGGTTCCGTTATGCTGCGTTGTCATGGCATGGTTTGTTTTCTGCGTCCAATGTTGTTGATGGTGCTCGTATGGCGATGAGTAGATTGGCTCGCTATCTGATTCTGGTATTGTTTCATAGATGTGCTCGGAATCACTCCACACGTGGCTCGAGTACGCCTCAATGAGCTTCACTGACAGCGGTGTTGCCTCTAGTGTACTCGATTGCTGATCACACAGGGATATATCTTCGAGTCTCTTTAAACAATCCTTCAGTGATTCCTGCATCCATTGCTTATTGCATTCTTCTGTACGATGCTCTGGCAAGATCGCGTTCTTGTCTGCGGATTTGTGTGAGCTTTGCGATGAGCATGTGGACGACGAATTTGTAGAAAAGTTGTTAACAGATTGCTGTTGTTGCGGTAGCGGCGGTTGCTGCTGCTGTGGTTGTTGCTGTTGCTGCTGAGTATGAGATGGTATGGGTGGAGGCGTTTTCAGGGTGCAATTGTCTACCTCGCTGTTTTTAGTACGTTCCTCCGTTTGTTGTTGCTGGATCAGTTGCTCGATCATGCTATTCTGATATGCTGGCAGGTTTTGGAGCGAAAGCGGTGGCGAACCCTGAAGTAGAATCATGGTTCATGATAAATAGATAACTATACCACGCGCAAACATCGATTGTTTTTTTGTTGCTTTATGTAATTCAACTCACCTGTTGATAGATGCGTCTATCATCGTATTCATCGTCCTAAAATAAGAGAAGTAAATTAATAATGTATAAAAGCTATATTTTATGTTTTTTTTATTTATATAAGAAAAGTGTAATTATTTTTTGGAAGTATCGTAATCAATCTATATTACACAAAAGTTAAATCTTCTACTCAAAAAGGAAACATAATGTTCTAAAATGCTTTTAAATTTCTGTAATATTTTCTGTGTATTTTTTATTTTTATGTTTATTAAATTTTGTATTAAAAAACATTGTAATAATAAGGATGAAAACGAACTTGATATACACATCGACTGACGAGAATAGTCACTGCGTTTTTCGTTTCGGCGAACAGATTCTCGGTCTGCTCCTTGTTCGCGACATCCTTGCCATTGACCTGGAACGAAAATAAATGTTCCTTTCAATGGACAATATAGATGAAAAAAGGATGTTCGCAAAAAGTCTGTAGTAGTACAGTAGTGTACAGTAGTGCTATTCTGATTTTTACCTGCAAAATTTGATCTCCTTCTCGTAACCGGCCATCTCGGGCTGCTAGACTTTCAGGAACTATTTCCGAGATATAAACCTCGGTGTCAAGGTCCTCACTGCCGGAACCAGAGCTATAGCACACAGTCAGTCCAAGCTTCTCGGCACTCCCGCTTTTCCGCAACGTCACCTCCTATAGCATTTCGCAACTACCATTAGTTAATGTTCGTTGTAGTAAATAATGTTCAGTGAAACTAAATACACTATACACTCATGTTTGCATGGAGCCTACCTCGTTAACAATGTTAGTAGTAATGCTGTGGGAGTTCTAACTCGGGAACTCCAAAGGGGAATGCGGGGCGCGGGGGATTCTTCGGAGGCGGGGGTATGACGTTATGCGGAGTGGCAGTAAGGCATCACAGATTTTGGGGACTGCAGTCACGTACAAGACAACAAAAAACATCATAAAAAAAGGGAATATTGCTATGAACAAAAATAATACAAAAAACAAATGATTATAAAATGAAAAGGGTATTCGCCGGTATATGCTCCAACCGTTTTTCGACCAATATAATTTTTCTAGAAACAACATTTATTAATTATTTTAAATATCTAAATACGACCAAGTTTCATAATTAATCGATTGAGTACCAACATCTGGCTGCTATCGAAATCGATGATAATGAAACACAATGTCTCCCTTGATAATTAAAAGAGTCTCGATCGTTTATTCTTTTTCTGGAAGGGACATGACAATCGAACATGTTTTTTGCAATATGTTTCAAGGTTAGTAGAAGTGTAAATGTAAGTGAAACTCAATAGAATTGTATTTTCATAAATGTTTATAAGAGTAGAGCGGTTTTTTTAAGCATACTTTGAAAATGAACGCTTAATGCTTTACTCTGAAAAGAGGGAGTTACAGACGATATAAATAAATTCAGTCTAGAAATGTGCCAGATTATAGTACGTTGCCGCGCCGTAGTTACTCTCGCGCGAAACCCCCCAGCGTGCGATTTCGGGCCCGATCGGCATGATTCGTTACCCCTTCGCTCTCTAGCGGCTCTGCGCACGAAGAACGGTCACCAATCTGTTCGAGATTACTTATAGTAATGATCTTGACAACATATTTCAAGATCAAGGTCATCAGCGCTAGCTCCTTTTTTGTCGATATTTACCTAAATAATTACTGATCATTTTATTTCTGAGAGAGATTGGGGGACGAAGTGGGCTACTTCTGATTTTGATATCAATTGATATATTGCTGTATTTTAGTGTGCTGATAGAGAATATGACCATGAAAATTGGTAACAATATCATGTTCAAGATTAAATATGAAAAATGTAAAAAAGTACCTTTTTTATATTTGACCCTAAAATGAACTTGTCAGTAATTTTCATGATCATATTTGTAATCAGCACACCAATATATCGTAATATACCAATCGACAACGAAAGGTTTTATCTTTTCAGAAGTATATCGAAAGAAATTCACTTTGACTGTAAAAGAATGTTAAAAATGGCCAAAAATGCTAATTTTAATATATTTTACTTCATTTTTCTCGGAAACCTGACGTATTAGGCCAATTCTGCGATTGGATTCGTTTTCAGCAAACAAAAATCCATCGAAAAACGTTTCGTTTATTCAGGTCCCATAAAAGTATTGAATTGTATTATTTTATTATTACTGACTATATCAGTGAGATAAATAAAATTTTTAATTAATGTTTCATATATTTTCATAATCTTAAAAAATTAAATTATTAAATAATTATAAATATTACATACCTCAAAATCGATGTCGTGAGTAAGAAAATCCTCAAAACTGTCGTTTGCTTGTTCTTCAATGACGAAAGGAACCGGAAATAATTCCTCCACTTCTATGAGTCCAGCCCAGTCCGTTTGAACTGAAGTAGATATCAAATTGCATGTCATATTGTCCTTGTTGACGTCGTTACATATTTGCTCATTTGTCACACCTCTTTCGTTCGTCGTCTCATTCTTATCTTGACACGTGATATTTTCGTGTACCTTGGACGGCGTGTGATGTCCACTGGGTTGTCGTCTAAGAACCTCTATAATAATTGGCTCTTGAGCCGATTGAAAACAGCGTACTGCATCCTCGTGACTAGAGTTTGAAACATCTTGCCCGTTTATCTAAAAACAAACAAACATATCAGTGCGTAAGATTTATCGATTTTATGAATAAAATATCCAGCTCCAATGACCGACTTATGTTGTCAAGGTCATGATCCTAAATAACTCTGCTTTAACAACTAGGCAGTGGTTTCTTACAGTTTCTAAGATATTTAGAGTTAAAGCAGGTCCATTGCACACCCCTTGCTAAAGAGCGACTAATTTTCCAAGCAAAGCGAGGTCCACTCTATAGCCCCCTGCTAAGAGACGATTGACTCTCTATGCGAAGCGAAGTTCACCCTCCCCTTGTCCAGGAGCGTGCTCATCTTCTACGAGAAGTCAGGTCTACCAAGTCACAACCTGCTCCCATCCCCGCTCAAAATGAGTGAGCAAAGATAGTGAGCAGGAAAACCTAACAGGTAACAAATAGGACTGCCAAAAAAGTCGAAGCTACAGCCACTGCGACGGCGCCAGGAAAAGGCGCCAACGGGGCTCAGGACTAAAAGACCGCTCCTCGCCTTTAGCAGAGGAAACCCCTTGCAGGTAAACAAAGGATCGCCAAGGCAGCACCGAAAAAAGAAACCGGGAGGACCAGTTTGAAAGTGAGGCGCCGTCAACTGCGGCTGCGGTGTCGCTTACCTGTCCCTCTGGAAAATACGCGGAGGTCGTTACTATGGCTAAGAGTAGGATCTGCAGATCAGCGACCTTTGTGCAAGGAGGGCGCTCACTGTGAGGGCTCTCATCTATGAGGTTCCCGGCGAGGGTGCCGCCGCCAAAGCATTGGGGGTCGAGCTTCGCCGTGCAGTTCGGAACATGGAAGGGGTGAAAATATCTCGACCCAGTAAAAAGGTCGAGATACTTGTCCCGGGCATCGATGATTTGTCCACTGAGCGTAAAAGGATGGGCTAAGCAGCTCCTACGAGCGCAGTTAATCCGATTAAGAGGAATTGACCTAAGCAGTTCTTATGAGCGCAGTTAGCTCCTGGGAGGGGAGGGATGGACTAAGCAGCTCCTACGAGCGCAGTTAGCCTGGGAGGAGAGGTTAGACTAAGCAGCTCCTACGAGCGCAGTTAGTCTTAGAGAGTTTTTAAAAAAAAAAGGTCTCTTAAATAATTCTTAGATGTCTCTTAGAGGACTTAAAAATGTCATAATATTTTCTAGGATGATATTTGCGGTAATATATTTCCAATTTTAAGGTACAAGTGTTGGTAGAAGCTTGAAAAAACATGCCACGTGTCTTCATTAGAACGTAAGTAAGGACGATCGATAAATCTATAAGCAGCAATATGTCACGCGTAATTGGTAATGCCCGATTTAACGCACCTCGACATAGATTGCATGGTTGGCTACTTTTACAATACTTATTTTCTTTATTTTCGTATCGATCAACACACGTTCATGTTATACGTGCACAATCAGCCACGATGCGAATAAAATTTTTTAACTTTAAGTAAGTAAATGGAAAATTATATCCACTATAAAAATCTGAAAAAATTCTCAAAAATACTCCAACATATGGAGAATGCGATGCTGTAAAGGAAATTTTGGGATCGCAATGGAATCCATTAGTAAGTGAACTTTTTTCCTGAACAAAATTGAAATTTCCGCCAAAAACTTGATAATATCACTTTATTAATTAACCTAATTACTTAATACATAGTAATATACATTTATATAAAATATTACGAGTTGATGAAAAAAGAATTATCCGTAGCCAACAATCGATGCAAAGTCATTTTTTTATATAACGCTCGACCGCATGTTGCGAAAAGCGTGAAGCAGACACTTCTAGAGCTTGAAGTTCTCCCGTATCCAGCATATTCTCCAGACATGGCACAGTCGAATTATCATCTCTTCCGATCGATGCAACACGCCCTTACGGACACACTTCTCTAGTTACGAAGAAGTCTAAAAATGGGTGGATGAATGGATCGCTTCGGAAGATCGTATTCTACCGTCATGGGATTGTCCTGTTGCCGGAGAGATGGGAAAAAGTAATAGAAAATGAACGAAATTACTTTGATTATGGTATTCATTCATCTTCCCTTCGAAACAAAACAATTTTAGAGATAAAAAACAACAAGAATTAAGTTTACCACCTAACCATATATAACTAATATACAGGGTATTTCAAAATTTGCGGACACGGGTTGCACAGCGTGATTGTATGTGCCAAAAGAAGCAACTTTTTCCTATAACAAAATTGCATTCACACACAAACAGTACTTTTTAAATGAGAGCAATTTAAGTTAACGAATGAGCGCTCCACGTTACGCATGGATTAGGGGCGGCGCACACACGGAGCGGCTTGGCATACGAAGATGTATGTACACCTTAACATGGATCTCGATCGAGTTTTTCCTAATGTCGATTCAAATGTTCAAAAGTATAAGAATCATGCATTGATCGATTTCTATTCATTTTGTTAACGAAATTACATGAGGCACATTTTGGCACCAATATGACTAAAATGTTTTATACTGTCTAACTACGTTTTTAATGTATATTACACCGATGTTGATGTACGATGTATTACCATAAGTAGAAAATTTAATATTATAATTATGCGATCGTTATAATTTTTATAAATTCAGTTACAATGTAAAATTGAAAATTAATAGGATATTACTTTGTATTATTTATTTTTGTTACATTAGAAATGACCTCATTAGTGGTCGAAACGTTTGTTTAAATGTATTCGAAATTATAACGTTTATTAAATATTAGCAATTAATATCTTGCCTAAGCTCTTAACCCTTTAGTTTACTTTAATTGAATATATTTGATTGTATTAAATTAGAAGCTACTTTTTTCATGGGGTGATCCCGATTGATCACGGCTCGATTGGACACCACCAATCACAGCGACCGATGCCTAGGAGCTTTGTAGTCTCAAGCGCTGTGAGTGGCTCGTGTCCAATTAAGCCGTGTCCAACTGGGTGCCACCTCTCCTGAAGAGAAGAAAGGCCTAATATGTACATAAAATATCATTTCTTGCGGCTTATTTTGACGAATTAGCTGTTCTTGAAACCTTGAACTCTTTGAGTAGGTAATAAAAGGGGATTCTAATTCATGGCTCCAAGAGGGATGAGGGGCGGTGGGGTACTCGTGGGAGGGTGACGTCACTAAGCGAGAGGGATGACGTCACAGATGGAGGGGGAGAAGGATGACGTCACAAGCAGTGACGTCACAAGGCGAGGAGGATGACGTCACCGGGGGAGGGGAGGAGGATGATGTTACGGGGTGATCCCGATTGACCACGTCTCGATTGGACACCACCAATCACAGCGACCGGTGCTTAAGAGCTTTGTCGTCTCAAGCGCTGTGTGTGGCTCGTGTCCAATTGAGCCGTGTCCAACTGGGTGCCACCCGATGTTACAGGGGGTGACGTTACTAAGCGAAGGGGATGACATCACGGGGGAGAGAAGGGGGATGACATCACTGGGCGAGGAGAAAACGTCGCGGGGAGGAGGATGCGGGGACGAGGATGACGTCAAAGGACACGGGGTTTGCGGGAAAATTACGTCGCGGGAAATTAATTACGTAGCGCGGGATGTGCGGAAATGTCCGCGTCGCGGTGATGCGGGGTCAGTGGCCGCCAGGCATGATCCCTCTGGGCGCGGTCCACAGCCGCCATCACGCGTGGGCCGCCGTCACCGCTGCCGGGCGCGGTCCGCCGCCGGTCCCTACTGCCGCCTCCAGGCGCAATCTGTCGCTGGTCCCCACCACCATCGCCGCCAGACGCGGTCCCCATCGCGCGTTATTCTTACCATGTATATCCACAGTGTACTTACCATTTTTCCTCATATACGCCATCTTCTTCTTCCCTTTATGCGACTACATTTCGCATCTTTGTCCCACTAATTATTTTTATTATATTTTAATAATAATAACTGAAAGAGCGTAGTCTCCTAAGAGCGCGGTGGTACCGTCGAACGCGTTGATGCTGTCGCACGTGATAAGAACACGGTTGGCGCTCGGTGTAACGCAATATTGCGTGAATAAGGAAGGAAGGAAGAAAACAAATAAATGCGCACAACAAAGTAATCTATATATATGTATATTTATTTATATGTACAGGGTGTTACAGATACATACTAGGCAATACGACGGGTTGCGCGGCAAACTTTGTATGGCCAAGCGTGGTTTAATAGACAATGACAGTGACTTCATAACATAAACTTTATAATGTATAAAGTCACTGTCACTGTCTATTAAACCACGCTTGGCCATGCAAAGTTTGCCGCGCAACCCGTCGTACTGCCTAGTATGTATCTGTAACACCCTGTATATGTATATGTATATTTATTATTTATATACGTATAATTTTTATAAATTTTATGCTCCTTGCTGTTGCTGCTGCTGCAACACAAATGATATGTCATCATCATACTTGTCAGGATCTTCGACCCTCCTTCGCTTCCTGCCCAAACGTCTATTCACTCTCTTAAAATCATCCTCCATTTTCTTGATTAATCTGTTCAATCCCTCCATAACGTCGTTCATCTGTGTGATAACGTCAGCGGTACCGTATCTGGAACAAAAGAATAAAAATATACTATATATATATATATATATGAAACATTTTATTAGAACAAATGCCAATCAAATGTTTGTTTAATATAATCAAAACATAATGTTACATTTACAAATATTTAGTAAATATTATCAAATGGTAACAGTTTGGTAATACTTATTAAATATTTATAAGAGTAATATTATTTTTGGTTATATTAACTAAACATTTGGTTGGCATTATTTCACCATACATTTAATAGCTATTACCAAACTCTAAGGGGGTCAATCATTGTTAAAAAAATGTACCTACACTAATGTACAGTGATTGTTAAATGGCAATACAACAAACTTTATTGCTAGCATTGCTATTGTATTGTTAAAATTGTTATTTTATGTATTGCCACCTATTGCGCACAGTATTGCCAAGTATTGTTAATGTATTGCTATGTACTACCATGTATTGCTAGCATATTGCTACCCAAACAGAAGAACAAATCACGATGTCAAAATGACATTAAAATGAATTGAAAATTATTAAAAAAAGACTTTTAATGACCATTTTGAAATCATTTTGACATCATTTTGATGTCATAATGACTTGTTATTCTGCTTAGGTAGCGTATTGCTAGTACTGTTAATACTAGCATTGCCTGTTTTATTACTGTACTGTCGCGATATATTTCTAAAGAAATGTACACTGATTGTCATAGTGGTTGACCCCTCGCCAGACTCTTTTTCAATGTATGATAAGAAATAATGAAAATGCTCATAATACACGACCATGCATTATACCTATCCGAAAAACTCCCGTGTCTAATAAATCAATAATGGTCTCGGGACTCTATGAGGTTAAAATGGCTCGATATTGTTTACTTTACAAAGATTAACATGCAGAACAAAATATCTTATCTCAATATAGATTGGGGATCTTATGAAGTTAGAGAAAAAAACATAAGAAATAAAAAAATAACGTACCTACCCAAGGAGCGCCACTGCATTTAATGCACTTTTAATTCGCGTACGGCTGCGTTGGTTTCAAAACCGCGTTAATTATGCACTTAAAATGCGCGTATTCTAACGCGATATTTTTACGCATGGCATTTGTGGGTTTCAGGGTGCATCCATACTTGGCGCTATAATATTAAGTAGCAAGCTGACATCATTTCGACAAATAATGTTAGCTTGAATTTTGAATTGAATTGCTTCATTTAATTAACCAATTAGAAGAAAGAATGTTACTATAATAAATATCCGAAATACATAAATTTAGATCAAAGCATATTGGAATGTCGCGAAGACAGATGCATCTTTTTACAACAGTTGGCACTATTAGTACCAATCATTATAGAAATATAAAGGGTGCTGATATTACCTGCAGTGCTCATAATACCCGATCTTACCCTATATGAGTGATCTTCAATTGTCTATTATTTCAGTATGTAGGCTTACATTTAATTTTCGTTCCACGAACGCTCCAAATTTCAATTATTTTATTACATTTAGCACAATTTTTTTCACAATTTATAAAAAATTTTGCATTTACTTTTATCTATATTAATTTTTTAAGTATGTATAGGACGTTATCAATTTCAATATTTAATTGTAAATCAAAAAGAACAATGAAAAATAAGATATAATGTTGGAATATTAGAAACACTCCACGTAATTAGATATGTTAAAAAAGACCACGCAATTAATGTATAAAGAATACCACTAGCGACAAACAACACGAATAATATAAGGTTAGTATCATTTTAATTAGAAAAAGTCACTGATTTATTGCATCTAAATTTTAAACTAACTAATAGAGTTGTTATTATATCTCTATCCGTGAATTTATAGATCTGTTTTTTATTGCTGCACTTTTTGAACTGATACACACAATGCAATAAGTTGAAATGAAACAAATATATGTTTGTTTCACTTCAACTTACTGTACCGGTTCAGAGTGCAGCAATAAAAAACAGATCTACTGTAACTCTACACTAGAATAAATAATGGCGGCATACATACCACTTGTCCTGTTGTATTCGTTTGTTTTTGTAACTCGAGGCGAATCTGTAACTCGAGGCAAGTATGCTAATATTCAAGTTAATCATAGCCGTTACCTTGAGCCTCGTACCACTTTGCACGATCGATGGAGTGCTCAGTGAGTATCCTAGGCGTTTAAAGCTCCACACTATTAATCTTGTGCAGGCTTGATTCATAAATTGAAAGTTCATTTACCGTAGTAATTAATTAAGCTCGCGTTAAACATGTGATATACGGACACTCGCGCAACTTATGCATACATTGAAACACACGTACCTATACATTGATACACGAATAGCATGAAAATTGCACTCTACAGAATTGCAGCCCAAGTATTCATCCTGAGAGATTTATTCTAATGAAATTCGAACTGTCGAGAAGCATCGTTGCACGATAACATAATGGACATCTTGGAGAAGAGTTCGGAAGCGTACGCGACGGCGCGCCAATCTTAAAACGAGAAAAACGGCGAGAAAACGATTGTCATTATGTGTATTACCCGCCTCACTCGCGTCTTGAATCTTCTTTCGAGAGTAACGGGAAGAGGATTCAACCGTCGTATAGCTTGGGCTGAATTTTTCGCTCCGATGAAAGCGCACTTAGCCGTGGGCGGTTTAGACACGAGGGAAGAAATGTAGCCGGGTCAAAAAGAGAATGATCCGATAGGGGTAGAAACATCTGTTTGAGGTTGTTATATACTATTTGATTGTTTATTAAAAAGCTTTTCTCACTTAACATCTAGAGTGGTTAGTAGATAGAGCCTTTTATTATATTATTATATATTAGTTTATTTCCAAAATGTATATATTTCCAAAATAATTTCTCCAACTCTGATCAACAAAAAAAGGTTCATGAAAGTTAAAAATTGGGAAATCTTTAATACTGTCCACAATTCAAAACAAGTGACGATTGCAATATTTTATTTTAAAATAAAAAATAAAATATTTTTTTTTAATGACTGTCACCCGACTTTAAGATAAAAAAAAATTGTTAATATATCTTGATCCGTTTGTAGTTGTTTGTAGTGAGTGCATCAATCTTATGGTAATTTCGTTCAATATATTTCTGTTGCAGATATAAGCGTGCACCACCATAACTGATATCACTGTGCAGTACGTAACGATAGTTTTTTGACAGGCTATGCCAATTTCCAGTTGGAGAAGGATAAATAAGTACGGGTCTTTGCTCGATACGTTACGCGATGCTAGATGAGTATATTGAATCCGATATATAACTCGCGGAACGTCACTCGTCACCGCTCCCGATCCGTATTTGTGCAATACGTTATACAAATATTCATTTTATATCGGCGCGCTTTCGGGAGCTCTTATACGACGCGCCAATGGCATCGGGTCGCTTAATGGTGCGGTATTTACGTCTGGACCGCGGGTCTATAAACGTCATGTGTATTATTACTCGCGATGTAAATGCATTGTAATGCATTACCGTGCGTCGGAACACAGTGAGGCGCGCACGCGCGTGTAAAATGTAATCTCGCCGAAATAGACGAATTGTCACCGAATGACCGTTATTCAAATTGCGATGCGGCCGAGAACGTGGAAATGGATGTAATAAGCGCTTAATCGATTTCGTCCTTGTCTACAATACGCCCAGTCGACCTTTAATACGACACGGTTGAAACAATAGTGTTAAGTCACCGTCGTGAAGTTAGTCCCCCGACATTAAAAAAAATTAAGTTTCTATAGCTCATTCGATTGCTCATCGTTTGCACATGTATGCACATTTCGAATTTTCGTTTGCACACTTTCAGTTTAAAAGTTATTCAAAAAACAAATTTGGGGGGGCCAACTTCACACTAGCCCCCCAACTTCAAGCAAATGGGTTCGAAAAGGTCTTAATCGATAGATTTTCGTTTGCACATTTCGAAACAATTCGATTTTTCGTTTGCACACCCGTACTTTAAAAGTTATTAACAATTAAAATTTCAGACATAACAAAAAGAGCGTTTTCGGTCCGAATTCAAGAGAATCGAGCTCAAAATGACATCAATCGATAGGATTTCGTTTGCACATTACGAAACAGGTCGATTTTTCGTTTGCACACTTATAGTTTAAAAGTTATTAACAAATAAGTATGGGGGGGGCCAACTTCACACTACGTAAAAAAAAAACGATTCCGGCTCGAATTCGATAGAAATTGGTTCATAATAGCATGAATCGACAGGATTTCGTTTGCACATTGCGAAACAATTCGATTTTTCGTTTGCACATTGCGAAACAATTCAATTTTTCGTTTGCACACCCGTACTTTAAAAGTTATTAACAATTAACTTTAATTGTTAATAACTTTTAAACTATAAGTGTGCAAACGAAAATTCGACTTGTTTTGCAATGTGCAAACGAAATCCTGTCGATTGATGTCATTTTGAGCTCGATTCTCTTGAATTCGGACCGAAAACGCACTTTTTGTTATGTGTGAAACTTTAATTGTTAATAACTTTTAAAGTACGGATGTGCAAACAAAAAATCGAATTGTTTCGAAATGTGCAAACGAAAATCTATCGATTAAGACCTTTTCGAACCCATTTGCTTGAAGTTGGGGGGCTAGTGTGAAGTTGGCCCCCCAAATTTGTTTTTTGAATAACTTTTAAACTGAAAGTGTGCAAACGAAAATTCGAAATGTGCATACATGTGCAAACGATGAGCAATCGAATGAGCTATAGAAACTTAATTTTTTTTTAATGTTGGGGGGCTAACTTCACGACGGTTGTTAAGTCACTACTGTCTAATGTGACACGACACATCGTGTAATGTAACGTAATATATTCGCCTCTCGTTTATGTCAGTCGCAGAAATCATATTTTTATCGCGAGTCGTTTTGACATATAGAAAAATAGTAAGTGTTACACAGTTTATTATTCTCTTCTACATATAAAATTAATTAATGCAGCACTTCTACCCGAGAGGAAATTGTAACGAGGAACTGACAAATTTCCTGGCAGTTTTTCCCGATGTTTGGACAGGCACTAACAGGGAAAGCAGACGTGGTTCCAACCATAAAAGTTACGACTGGCCTCTCAGAGAACTGGGCAGTTTTACTAGTCGGCATCTGGTCAGTTCTGGATCGAATCTGGGAAATTTTTATCAATTTTCGGATAGTTCTGGACAGAATCTAGCCAGATTTGATCAGTTCTGGATAAAAACTGGCAGGGCATTAGGCAGTTTCACACATCAGGAAATATTCCAGCAAAGGAAGCACGAGGTAACGTTATTTTTCATCATTTCGATGTTCTTTAATGTATTATTTCCGAAATTAACCTTTTATTATAATTGTGTTCCACATCCATAATCATTGCATTATCCCAGTCAAAAGTGTGATTAAATTTAATAATGGTTCTGAGATAACTGAATGCTTAGAATTTAGAAGAATCCAATCTGATATTATTCACATGTCAAAATGAATAAATTTACAATAGAAAATTTTTTTCAATAATAATTTGACGGAAGGCGCGTTCCCAGTATATTTCTGGTATAGGAGCGCCCCTGAGTCAGAGCGTCACGTGACCGCCCGGCAGCTCGGCCGTG